TATATTTAAAGAGTTTTTATATTTTATATATTTAAAGCGAGTTTTTGGGCAGTGTAGAGTAGTGCTTGTTGTTTGTCATTTCTCCGATCACAAATGCAGACATAGTTTTATGTTTACGTGGCGCGATGCAACGCAATGTGTAAAAACACAGTAAGTCAGTCATTATAATCAGTAATTATGTCCCCACTGGATGCTACAAATGCCTCGTTTGTAATGGGTTTTATTGGTTTTCTCTCGTCGTGCCGGGACACGGCATCACAGTATGCTAAGGGGTGTAACATTTCTGTCACACGCTTGAGGTATTCGGCCAATCACAATGCACTGGATAGCTGGCCAATCAGCGTACACCTCGCTTTTCAGACCGATGAGCTTTGTAAAAATCGATGCGTTTCAGAAAGGCGGGGCATAGAGGAGAAACAATAATGTACAGTATGTGGAAAATAATGTGTTTTTTGAACCTTAAACCGCATAAACACATTGCATTACACCAAATACACAAAATAATGTTATTTTTTAGCAATGTCATATGACCCCTTTAAGTGAACAGATCATTTCCACATACTAACACACATATTTTGTTCACTGAAGTATCTTTGTTTTAAAGAATTAGACTGCTATCCTGCCTTCAAAGTCATGAGCAAATCACATTTGGAGCCTTAAAGTAGCACTTTTATTACATTAAATTAAACACTCTTTCAAGAGCCTTTTATTAGAGTTTTAACACACAAGTTTTAACAAAAAATAATGCTTGTTTTAGTCTTCTGTGCCATTCTGTTTTTTTAATGAATTGGTTGCGTAAATGATTCAGTGAATCATTCATAACAGAAAAAGACTTACTTATAATTGCCAACGAGCAAAATTATATAAGGCACACTGAGTGAATCGGTTCACAAATATGAAAGAATCTTTTTAGTTAATATGACCCAAAGGATTTGAGTTACGGGGTGCCATCTATTCTGACTAAAGTCAGAGATCAAATAAATGAAAATTTCATAATAAAATCTTCCTAAAGAAAGAAAAAAAGGAAAAGGAAAAAAACAAAAGCATGCGTACTATATGTGGTATACCTGTAGGTACGTGATTCTGTTCTGTACTAGGTCAGACAGTTCTTTAGCTTCTTTCTCTCTCCAATCTCCAGCACCGTCCACCTGGCTCAGATGATACAGGTCTGTCATGACGGACCTAAAGATTACATAAAGACCACTGTAAAACACAGCTCAAAACTCCAAACAACTGCATCACACCATTTCTGCTAATTAAACCAATTGATTATGGCTCATTACAGAGCATTTTGTTAAGAAATAATATCAAATTAGTTTTACAGTCACAAACTAAAGTCAGCCTGGCCTATGCACTGTTAATCATCCACACTACAATTAAAAGCGCTCTAGTAATGACTTCATTTTTTAGCTTCTGTTCAGCATTACATGGACGTCTTTTTTCTAAAGTGCGAGCAAACACGCTGATCTAAACATACACACCCATTAAACCCCAGTAATGGCATTACTGCTCCATGAGATTACATGCTGTTTAGAAAGAGATTAGAGATGGAGAGAATTTTTCCTCTTTAATAAAATGTAGCACATGATTAGGACAAGTGAAAATGAGCTTGCACAAAAAAGGAAGTAAAGTCTGCATATATGTGCATTAGGGCTGTCAAAATGACTGAAAAACTAAATTCGAATTTTGTACTTAAATATTATTAAAATTCGAATTATATTCGAATTTAAAATGCATAATTTCAGTTAGGGTGAAGAAAAGCTTTTGGCTTCTCTCCTGAGGCCACAAGAGGGCGCATCGAGCAAAATATTACTAATGCACGTTTATTCAAAGCATGAGGTCACATGACTATCTGTGGAAAAAAAGTGCATAATGTTTAAAATAATGTTTATAAACCAATTATAATTAATTAAGTTGCTTAAACAACTATAAACCAAACAGCATCATGCATGTATGCATCGTTTAATACAAAGGACCGAAAGCCAATCACACAGAGTACATTTTTCATTTAAAAACATGAGATGCAGTAGAGTGGGGAAAAAAAACGCCATAAAGTCTCGAGATATGTTTTTTCAAAGTTAAACATGCATTCATTTTACATGGCTTTCTAAACATGCGGCTCTTTTGTGCAAGACGCGAGTGCAACGGTGATAGACGTCCCTCTAGAAAATGCGATAAATATACGTTCTGTGTAAACGGCTTGGTTTTAGTTTTGATCAAAACAAAACGTAAACAAGATCTTCTCTGCATTGATGTTCTCTTTTTCCGCAATATTTTTAATGAACAACGTAGCAGCAACGCATCTAGTGGGTTCAACTGGATAGGCTGACAAAAATATTATAATGCAGTGACACATACATCGTCATCGCATCTCGTGCGCCACTGATAAGGCTGTCTGATGCACACCTAAAATTCGAATGCAAAAACGTCGGATTTTTATTTTAAATTCGACGAATATTCGAAATTCAAATTTTTTTTGACAGCCCTAATGTGCATTATGGATATGTATTCCTCCTCTACGCTGGGATTCAAAAGTATTAAACAGTTATTCATCTCTTCTATTGTACAACTAAATGTTTTGAGACCTTGGATATTTAAAATGTGGAGAAGAGGCCCCTGAAGTGAATTTCAGTTATTGGTATAATGTAGATTTGATGAGAGTTGTATAGGGACCAGCTAATCATTTCAAATGTATCCAGGCAAAGTGTTTATATTATGATATCTCCCTTTTTTTCCTTTTTTTTTTTTTTACATCTACTGTTGCATTTTATGTTGACTTAATTTCATAATTAACAGCCATAATGGTTCAGACTGGTAAGTTATTTTAATTCATTCATTCAGTTGAGATATTTATCATAAATTGACAGGATGCTGTGTTTTTATGTTTAGACACAAAAATATGACCTTAAAATTCTCTAAAAATCAATTCCACAGAGCAAATATAAATAAATAAGTTAATTTCTCATACTGGTGAGAGCAGTTTATTTAATTGGAAACACATTTACACTACAGTTCAAAAGTTTGACTAAGATTTTTTATTTTACTTTATTTTTTACAATTAATACTTTTAAGTAAGAAATTAAGAAATTGATACTTTCTTCAGCAAGGACAGTAAAAACTGACAGTAAATACCTTTAGAGTGTTACAAATTTGTATTTCAAATAAATGCTGTTTTTTGAACTGTCTAGTCAACAAAAAATGCTGAAAAAAATCACAGTATACACAAAAATATCAAGCAGCACAACTGTTTTAAACAATAATAATAAGAAGAAAAAATGTTTCTTCAGCAGCAAATCTGCATATTAGAATGATTTCTGAAGGATCATGTGACGCTGAAGACTAGAGTAATGACTGCTGAAAATTCAGCTTTGCCATCACAGGAAAACATTTTTAAAATATTTATATATATTAAAATAGAAAGCTCTTACCACCTCAAACATTTGAAAGGAAGTGTAGCTTTATAATGCAGACTTATCTGCTGTATCGGCCAATGTCATTATGAGTGAATTCCTTATGTATACATATACTGGATGTGTGTGTATAACCTCTGCTGGTGTCTAAGGTCCTGCAGGAGTGTGTCCACATGTTTCTGTAGTGCTCCAGTGTCCACCAGTGCTAGTTTCTTCAACTCACTGCGAACAAAATACCACAGTTCCCTCACGCCATTCTCCACCTTCCTCCTTAGCTCCTCCTGGTCCTTTCCTGGACCTGCACACACACACAAACAAACATTCATATTATTTCAATGCTAATTGAATTGTTACTACAGAGATGAAAGACCAATATAAATCAGCCAGGTCCACTAAATAGCCTATTATCTCTACATTTTGTGATTATTGCCATCAGCCGATAACCATTTTTACCTGTTTTCATGTTTTTGAGAGAATTTTGAGTCAGTACAACTTCAAAAGTGACAGCAAAGATATTTGTTACAAAAGTTTTCAATTTCAAATAAATGGTGTTCTTTTGAAATTTCTATTAATAAAATGATACAATGATCAGAGTTTCCACAAAAATATTAAGCAGCACAACTACTTTCAACCTTGATAATAAGAAATGCTTCTTAAGCACCAAATCGGCATATTATTATTATGATTTCTGAAGGATCATGTGACACAGAAGACTGGAGTAATGGCTGCTGAAAATTCAACTTTGCCATCACAGAAATAAATTACATTTTAAAATATGCTAAACTAGAGAACAGTTTAAGTTGTAATAATATATTTCACAATATTACTGTTTACTGTATTTGTGATACAATGAATGCAGCATTGCTGAGACTTCTTTCAAAGAAACATTACAAAATTTTACAGGCCCCAAATTTTAAATGATGGTGTATACTGTCATTTAATTTCAACAATTCTGAATACATAATTTGCTCATTTATATAAAATCAAATATAATAACTCTGCATTATATACCATGCTGTCTAGATACCTCTATTGACACCATTAATAAACTCATATCACCAGAATTGAAGAAGCTGCAACAACTAGCATTTGGGGAATTATATACATGGACGGCGGATACAGTGGGTATCACCTATATCACTAAATTACATATTGACGTGCTGGTGCCGGCAATATGACAGAATGTATGTGTACTGTAGACGGTGTGACCTGTATATGTGAGTGAATGCACAAAGATGTGTGTGGGATTAAAAAGCGGTGTTATTCAATAAGGGTATCAGTGGCTGTAAGACAATCCGGCACACGGCTGTGATCCTCTGTGTATAGTGTTCCACTTGTTCTTCCTCTCAAAAGATCATTCAGTGCAATACTATAAGGACTGCTGACCCAGCAACCAGCCACAGAGAATGTGTGTGTGTGTGTGTGTGTGTGTTTGTGTGTGTGACAGGTTCAAAGCTTAATAGCATCATAAGTTAACCAGTATCCCTGGATCATCTGCTGGTCCACATAATATATATAATGTATATGTGTGTGTGTGTCTGTGTAGAAAGAAGCAATTTATATGACAGATTTTCATGTAGGCTTTTATTTATATGTAAACATTGTTTAATTACAATTATAACTAGCTATCTCACAATTTTTTGCTCACTCAGTATATTTTGGATTTTACAGCGGGGTAATTTTGTTGCAGTAGTACGAGATAGCTTGATTTCAAACTCTGAATTGAATAAAAAATAACAAGTAAGCAGTCAGTAATAAAATAAGAACAAATAAATAAATTACTAATGATAGCACAAAAAATAATAACAATACAAATGAAATAAATTGCTTTTTAGTTTTTCAGGTAGGTCTAACAGTAGGGCTATTAAGAGATTTAGCTGTTATTTTTTACCAATTATATCCAAATAATGTTTAGTCCTAGAAAGCTATTATTATCAGAACACGTGAGCATAACATAGCGGTTAGCAGATCAATGAATGAGAGGGCAGCATTACCAGAGTTGCCCATATACCACATCATGTTACAGCACAGTAGGGCTGTTGCAAACAGAAACAATACTGTACTACATCGATGTTTCCTGTCGGCTCGATTTATGAGTGGACTTTGCTGTTCTGATGAGCATGAACGGTCTGGAGCCAAGGAGCGACTGAGCGGAGCGCACACGCATAGAGCGGGATAATATGCAGAGCGTCACACCATGTGAAAGTGAAACCCGAGCGGATGAACTAATTTTCGTCAGCCGGAATTTCGGTGCATCTCTAATTATTGGCGACATCAGAAATGGATATTATACAATAGATGCTTTTTTGAACATTTTAGCAATTTAAAAATCTTAAAAAAGGATTCTTTACACGGCACCCCTGCTCTCGACAGACGGCACCCCGGTTGGGAAACACTGGGCTAGAGGACAAATTACACAGACTCCCTGTAGTGATACGACCGTCCTTGACTGTGAAGACTCTCATATACACACACACACACGCACACTTTTCATCCATATTAAAAGGTTCCTATTAATTTGACACGTTTCATCTTTTCTTCACTCAGCATTAACAGCAAGCCATTACAGCACATCTGAAAAAGAGCTGTCAGCCCTCACATGCGTGTGTGTATGTGCATTTTCTTAACTACACTTTAGGATGTGCAGAAGTTAACTAAATCTGACAAAGTCTCCCTTTGGAGGTGTTTAGAGACATCCTTAAGGTACAAAAACTTAAATGATAATTTCTAGTTATACTTTTAGAGTTATACTTTGGTTTGGATTAGTTAATTTGCTTTATTTATTAAGAAATTAAATTAAAATGTATTTTCTGATACTTAAAAAAGAATTATAAGAAAGGCTTATATATTAAGATTATTTATTTTTATTATATATTTATATCTGACTCTAAAAAAATGTATGACTTTTTTAGGTTTAGCCACTGAAAATTTTGGCAGGCAATTGTACATTTTAAAATTTGATGTTAGCTTTACATAAAAACTACAGAATTGCATAGTTCATTTAGATAATTGCGTATATTTACACACCATCAGCAGGGAGGCTGCGGTAAGAGTTGATTTTCTCCTTAGCTCTGATCAGTTGTTCTTCAAGGTTGCGTAATTTACCCACGGCTCCGGGACCACCATCGGCCTGTCCTTCAGGTAACCTGGAAGACAGAGAGAGAGACATGTTAGCATGACCATTGCCTGGGGAATCGACATGTTCTTACGCTGTGCGTTAACGCTTCTGAACATTCAAGCTCGTGTGAGAGTGAATGTGTGGCCTACTGGGTCAAGGTGAATTGTGGCTGGCTAATTTCCCAGGGGTCTTTACTCCTTGCTTCCAGTGCCAATTTAATGCAATGATCAGTTGCTGCAGCCACTGCGGGCAATTCATTTGGTGGCAGGCGCTATTCATCACACACAGACACACAAACAGTTGACCGAAGCCTGCCCAGCGTGGGCTCCTGACACACACATTTTCATCTAATAAACTTCATTACCGACGAACATCCCAAGACCTGAACCTCCATCATTCCCTGACACTCCTTCAGAGAAATCTAGTTCATTAATGAGATGACTTCCTTTGGTAGACAACAGATCCTGCATATTCTCTCTCTCACACACAATATTAGTTTAGCTATCGAAATACTAATTCTACTGCTTTTATATAAAGCTAATTATAATTTCAATTATTACAGCAGGGTTCTCAGACACTGAGGGCCACCAAGTGTTATTCTTCATTAGGTGCCAGATGAACAGGTACAACAAATACAAGTGGTTTTACAACCATGAATTTTAACTACATGCAGTTATTGCTACATTTATACATGTATTAGTGAATAGGATTGTTGTGTGACTCATCTCTCCCTCTTACTTGCATACTGCACTGCTTGTTTAGTGGACTAATTATGCCTTGAATTGCATTGCTAGGGAACTGCAATATTCTCCTAGCAGATCAGGCAGGTAGTGGTCATATTAAGAGACCACAAACCTCACAAGCTGCGACTTGACTCTCAAAAGTACTTTAAATACACATCATATTTAGAAATGTTTAAGAACTCAATTTTACAGAAATCTTAAGATCTATTTTTGACAAATATTGATCTCACACACAGTATATGCTATTTAAGGCTTTTATTGGCCCTCAGTTTTGAAAAGTGAAATTAAAACGTTTGGTATATGAATACAAGGACACCCTGGTCATTATATTTCAGCTGCAAAATGACGGGCAAAGCAAAAAATAGTTTGGAGTGGCAGTGCAAAAAAAAAAAAATGTGTCCACGTGCATGTTGCATGGTGGCTGTGCATTCAATGTAGACAGCTCACTTTATTATAATAGAAGCAAAGTGGTTTTGTTGCATTGACGTTGCATGCATACAATGAAGAGGCTTTTTGTGTTTTAGGCAAAAAATAAATAAATAAAATAAATTAAACCTTTTTGTGTCTTAGGCCTATAATAAGCCATACAAAACAAAACAAACCTTTTGTGTTTTAGGCCTATAATAAACCATCTAAAATAAAATAAATAAAATAAACCTTTTGTGTTTAAGGCACATAATAAGCCATGCAAATAATAAATAAATATATAATAAATGGCATTAGCATTTATACAATGATAATAATTTAACATGTTTTATATTTTTCATAATAAATTACGAAATTATTATGTCTCCAAATAACCCCCATGAGAAACACAAACAAACAAACAAACACACACACTCACTTGGGGGGGTTGGGAGGGG